ATTCTTGTAGCTTATCTCGAGAGCTTGCTAAAATACTATAATAAAATTTTTTTCATTAAGTACTTTTTTATAAAGGTTTAAAGTTAACCAATCTTTTGACACAAATGTAAAATATCTTGTAAAATATTCAGTTGGATTATACCTTAATAGTTTTGCGCAGGAATAATGAGAGCAATCAATTGGTTTAAAGAAAACACAGTTGCTTTGAAAAAGATGCGTGCAATTTGCAACATATTTTTTCAAATGCAACTGTGTATTTTCTTGGGGGAAGGGGGCCGTTAGCATACAAATCAATTGCCAACAGCATCACTTGCCGACATCCCATTTGCCACATCTCATTGAACTACAAAAATTATTGCCAGCAGATCGATTGCCTACAAGCTCTATTGCGTACAAACCACAGTATCACAATACATTGCATACAAAAATGAAAAAAGTTGGTAATGAGTCCAAACTCTTCAAACTTTTATAATTCAAAAAGTACTTAATGAAAAAATATTTTAACAAAATATGGCTAAAACACTCTTATCTTATATAAATATCTTATATAAAAATCTTATATAAATTCCTCTTCCCTTTGCCCCCCTAAAATTGATGTAGACGAGAAAAATATATCGTCCGAAAAAGTCGGTTGAATCGGGAATCGAATCAGAGACCTTCCGCTAACCGGGCGACTGCTCTTTCCAACTAAACTATTCGACTTTTTCGGACCGATATATTTTTCTCGTCTACATCAATTTTAGGAGGGTAAAAGGAAGAGGAATTTAAATCTCAATTTAGAGATTGTTTCCCCGTCTTAGCGAATTGCTAAGTATTATATTTGGCTCTTCACAGCGATACATTCTCTATCCTTGTTAAACAATATTTTATTATAGTGTTTTTGAAAAGCTCTCAAGATAAGCTACAAGAATTTGCTATAAAAAGTAGGGGGTTCTATTTTAAAAAATTAAGTTGACCTTAAAATGATCTCTAAGTTTGACTCTCAGGTTAAAATTGGTCACCATCAAATGCCTTATTTTGAGCCCTAAGATTCATTCGAAACATTTTTGTCTAAAATGCTTAGCTTTCGAAATATTTAGTGATTTCGCTCATTTTTGAACACCTTGTATGTATTTATGTATGTATGTGTATATGTATATATATATATATATATATATATATATATGTGTATGTGTATATATCCAGTTTGATTTTAATTAATATGGTCGAATTATTGCTGAAACCATGACTGTAAAAAGAAAAAATATGTAACTGATATTGGAAATTACACATTTTTTCTTAAAAATAACTATAACTTTTCTTTACAGCAATTGATTCCTCTCATTATTTTATGCATAAAGTATTGGCGTGAAAAAATTAATTTTATGAGATATTTGATGGTTTATGTAAAATTATGTGTCACATTGAATTACAAAATATCTTATAAATTATTCATTTTTTGATCATTCTATTCTTATAACTTTTTATGTCAAATATTGAGAGGAATCGATTTGTATAAAAAATCAGGATGGTCCTATTTAAAAAAAACAATTAAACTGATCTTCAAAGAATCTTGAAAAATGATACCTTGACAAAAGAGTTAATTAAAAATAGGACCCTGCATATATAAATCACAATATCATTATCATATATTATAAATATTTTGACAACCTTCGGAAAACTTAAGATGCTTTGATATTTTTAGCCATGTTCTGTAATAGAAATGTCGAATTTGCTCCTTATTTTTTATCATAGGGTCCAAGAGGCCACGTTTTCTGCCTTGATTTAAAAAATAGCTTTGTAGGGCATCGAAGTCTTTGCCATATTCATTTAGCGCTTTAAAAAAAGTGTTTTTATCCTCCATAGACCACAACTCGCATGAACGTTTGAGAGATTTTACTTTAGCCTCTGTTGCCTCTTCATCTTTATTTACATCTGTATTGACAGAAAGAAATAATTTATGATTCAGTAACTTTAATGTCATATTATTATTTGCAGGGTTGGATAAGTTAATGATTTTTTAAAACTAAGTTAAGTTAAAGTTAGTTGCTTAAAAAATTAATTTAGTTAAGTTAAAAGTTACATGAACAAAAATTAACTCAAAGTTAAGAAATAATTAACTGAAGTTAAATCAAAAGTTAATTTTTAAAGACATTATTTATATTAAATTAGAATTAGAATTTTGTTTGTTGATTCTTTTAAAATTTATAATAAATAACAAAGAAATTTTGATTTTATATAGAAATATATTTTTTGATAATTACAATTGATGCGAAATAAACATAAAAATTAATACTTCAATTTAAAATACGTTTATAACTAATAAAATAACAATAATGGTTGTCAGAGATAAAAAAAATTTAACTTTGGAAAAAGTTAATAAATTTAAGGTAAAAAATAACTAGTTGAAGTTAAAAATTAATATATTTAAAAAATTAACTAAGCTAACAATAAGTTAAAAGTTATTGACATTTTAACTTTTTATTGTAATTTTTAACTAATTATAATTAGTTTATTACACAACTAATTAACTAGTTTATTACTCTGATTATTTATATCAATGTATACGCACCCTTTCTTTCAAGATTATTAGGATCGCTGTTATCAATCTTGAGCTTTTTATTACCTCGAACAATGCGAATCTGTGTATTCTTATTATCTCCCAAGAATTTTGTGTCCGAACAGGTTTGATTTACTTGAGGACACGCAGGAATCACATTGTTAAGTTCAGTATCCTCAGATTTTATAGAATCTTCCATCTTGTGCAATGTTTTTTAATTGCGACTTACAAACAAGACTTCTCTGTAACACATTACATTCAAATTTAATATTTGTAGCATATATATAGCACTTTAAATCTAACTAATAATTATACTAATAATTAGAAGCGAAAGAAGACAAATAATAGTTAATTTTTCTTTTTAATTGCAACTTACAAACAAGACTTCTCAGTGACACGTTATATTCGAATTTAATATTTATAACATATATATATATATATATATAGTATTTTAAATCAAACTAATAATTAATATTAGAAGAGAAAGAAGACAAGTAATAGTTTGATATTTGTAATATGTCTTTTTTTTAATCGCAACTTACAAACAAGACTTCTCAGCAACACATTACATTCAAATTTAATATTTATAGCATATAGATATTTAATCCAATTAATAATTAATATATATTAGAAGAAAAATCAGTTTGACAATATTTGTAATATATTTTCTTGATTTGTAGGTGCAGGTTTTTCCTTATTCTTCAATTTTCTGTAGGATGCAAAGATCACACGTATATTTTCCTTTTTTTCAATTTATATAAAATATTTTTAGCACACAGGAAAGTTTTAGCAAAAATTTCTAATACCATCTAAATTTTTCTGAATATATTGAACATGTTTCTCATAATATAACCTTCTCTTTACGAGAACACAAAATTTACCAACAGTCGCTATCTCTCCCAATTATCTCTCGCGCATATATATATATATATATGTGTGTGTGTGTGTGTGCGCGCGTGTGTGTGTGTGTGTGTGTGTGTGCGTGCGTGTGTGTGCGTGCGTGTGTGTGTGTGTGTTGCCTATCATCGAGCATTAAATTTTTTTTAGTTTCTCGGATGCTTCGGAAACGAGATGACGGAACGGCTCGATTTACGTTCTTAATCCGATATAAATAATTGTTCGCGTTGATTATCGTCATCGGTCGTTGAAGATGTTACGAAGATGCGTTTGTGCATAAACGTGCACGAATAAGTGTCATTAATCATCGAGAAGACGAAAGTATGGCGCGTCCGAAGCACAAAGTTAGCCCTGACGTTTGCGCGGACTGTGGAGCTTTTGGTAAGTTGTTTTTTATTTTTATTTATTTATTTTTTTTTATTTTTATGTATTTTTTTGATAACTATTGTTCGTATCATTGAGCTTTCAACCTGATGCAAAACTTGACAGCTATCGAGTTATGTCAAAGGCTAATTTGACAAACTCGATAGCTTAATGAATGTATATTAATAATGCATATTTTTGTTAATTGGAGTTTATTTTTTTATTTACTTTTTAAGATAATTATTCAAACAAATCATTATGGAATCAAAACATGACAATTGTTAAGTTATGTCAAATCTTATTTTGTCAATTTTAATTTTCATGAGTGTATATTAATAATGCATATTTGTTAATTAGTTTGTTTTTAATTTTTTTATTTTTTTTAAGACAATTATTCAAACAACACAATCATTGAGTTTTTGTAGCCTGTGGAATCAAAACATGACAGTTATCGAGTTATGTCAAAGGTTAATTTGTTAATTTTAATTTTCTTGAATATATATTAATAATGCACATTTTTTTAATTGGAGTTTATTTTTTTATTTATTTTTTAGGATAATTATTCAAACAAATCATTGCTGAATCAAAACATGACAATTGTCAAGTTATGTCAAATCTTATTTTGTCAATTTCAATTTTCATGAATATATATTAATAATACATTTTTTTTTTTTTTTTTTTTTTTTTTTTTATTTATTTTTCAAGACCATTATTTAAATACAATCATTGAGCTTTTATAGCCTGCGGAATCAAAATATGATAATTACCAAGTTATGTCAAATCCTATTTTGTCAATTTCAATTTTCATGAATACATTAATAATGCATATTTTATCAATTTCAATTTTTATGAATATATATTAATAATGCATATTATTTTTTTGTTAATTGGAGTTTGTTTTTAATTTTCTCATTTACTTTTCAAGACAATTATTCAAACAAATCATTGATCCTTGATACGGAATCAAAACATGACAATTATCAAGTTATGCCAAATCTTAATTTGTCAATTTCAATTTTCAGGAATACACATTAATAATACATATTTATTAATTCGAGTATTTACTTTTTAAGACAATTTTTCAAACAAATTGAACCTTGATGTGGTATTAAAACATGACAATTATCAAGTTATGTTAAATTCTATTTTGTCAATTTCAATTTTCATAAATATATATACATATTTGTTAGTGGGACATTTCAGTTGGACTCACTTATTTCTTTAAGAAAAAGCGATTATTAATAAAGATGCGTTGGTTTTTTCTAGAGCCAGGATGGGCATCGATAAATAGAGCTATTTTATTGTGTGATGATTGCTGTGGAATTCATCGTAGTCTTGGACGTCATGTGTCGCATATCAAGTCGCTACACAAGGATGTTTGGAATACGCATTTGTTGAACGTTGGTACACAATAACTTTAAAAAGTGAAAAAAATCACTTTTGTAGAATTATTTTTATGTTTATATCATTTTTGAAATAACTTGGTGAAAATATTTTAGATGGTGCATACCTTGAATGACAATGGTGCAAATAGTATTTGGGAGCACTCTCTACTGGATCCTAGCAGCTTGAAGATCAGCAGAAGAAAACCACAGGCCAAGGATCCCTTACAGTTAGTAATTTATACCACAAATCTTATTTTATGCAGAAAAAAGACAAAAAGATATTCATCAAAATAAAAAATAAATTAAAAATCAGATTAACCACATTAAATAAAAATTATTATATGGTAATAATTCAATCGACCAAATCTAGCAAATAAGTAAATTTATTGAATTTTCACAACGTTTCGGCCGTGGGTTTCGGCCCTTAAGAACATAGCACTTGATAAGGGCCGAAACCCACGGCCGAAACGTTGTGAAAATTCAATAAATTTACTTATTTGCCAGATTTGGTCGATTGAATTATTACCATTTTTTAATTATCATCTGGTGACTTCATAGTTTTAAATCATTTAAAAATTATAATTTTTTCGAATAAAACTGATTCCAAGTATTAGAAATACTTCAAAATATAAAGCTGTTGTTGATATTTTGATAATTAATATAATGTAATATTTATAAAATTGATGATACTTTAATAATATTTTTAAAAACATCTATCTTTATATATATTTTCCATATAAGTATTATGTTTCTTTGATATATATATTATACAATATATATATATATATATATATATATATATATATATATATATAAATTTAAAGTATAAGACACAGGCGATAAGAGCCGATCGCGGAAGACAGTGCGTTATCCCAACGAAACTAAGTTTTTTCGTTAGGATTAAATATCTGTGCACAAGGCACCAAATTTTACTTGGTCACTGCCAAGATTTTAAAATATGAAATAATCTCATATTTGAGATTTAATTTCAATAATCCTTTAATCCCCTACGGAAATTTCGATATATAATTATATTTCGATATATAAATAATTATAATTTTTAAAATTATATTGTTTTTAGTCCTGTGAAGGCAGATTTTATTAAGGCAAAGCATCAACACCTAGCATTTATATTACGACCAAGCAAGGAAGAATGTTGTACCGAGGAGGAATTAAGTAGACAGTTACATAGCAGCGTTCGTACGAGTAATTTAGAAACTTCATTGAGACTATTAGCACAGGGTGCTAATTCTAATTATTTTTACAAGGTATATTTTAATATTTATTGAAGTAATTTATATATAAAATATATATTTTTATTTAAAAAATGTTTACTTTATTATTTTTGACTGTATAACAAAATGTTCTTCAAACAAAAGTTTGATTTGAAGGGGGAAAATGGCGTTACTGTATTTTTTCTAAAGGGTGTTTTTCAAGGTCATTTAAAGATCATTTATGTTTTTTAAATGGAATTACCACAATTTTTTTATATAAATCGATTTCTCACAATTTTGGGTATAAAAAGTTATAAGGGTAAAATAGCCACAAAATGAATAGTTTAAGATATTTGATACTTAAATTTAACATATTTACATAAACTATAAACTTTTATGAATAAAATACTGAGAATTAATTGGTCCAAAGAAGATATAATTCTTTGTAAACAAAATATAGTTGAAAGTTGCAAATTACTTTTTCTAACTAAAGTATAAAATATTTCAAACTATTTACTTTCTGACCATCTTATTATTTTAAATCGATACATACAAGAATTATATTATAGTAGTTCCATTTAAAAAAACGTAAAGATTTTCAAATGATCTTGATAATTGACTCTTAGGGAAAAGTCAATAATTCTAATTTCTTTTTTCTCGCAAAATTCTATAACTTTCCTGAAACTTTTTTAAATGTATATTGTTCAAGAGAAACATTTGTGTGTATCTTTTAAAATGGGACACTATATAATTGAATTACATCATTTCTGTTAAATTATACGTTTATTTATGTTTGTGCAGGAGAAAGGAACTACACCTTTACATGTTGCGGCACGTGCTGGACAAAACCTCCAAGTGGAACTTTTAATAGCTAACGGTGCAAATTCAAGTGCGGTTGATCTAAATGGACAATTAGCTGCCGATATTGCTAAGTAAATGAAGTTTAATGTAGAATGTGTATATATAGGGTGTCCCATAGAAAATTGCCGAAACCAATCAGCTGTCATTTTTTAATGCATGCAGTTATTGAGAAAACATAAATTGTGTTAGAAAGAGGAAAGTCTACACTTTTTATTGGATATAAATAAAAAGTTTGTATACTAGTTTATTTTATTGATAAAAAGTAATGAAAAAGTGCTAATAATCACATAAAATCACATAAACTAATGATAAATATTTTCAATAGTACTGGATTTAATAGCAGCTATTAAAAAGATCATCAATAACATTAAAAATGATATGTTAGAACAGAATTTTGTACAAATTCAAATGGAGCGCACTTCGAAAATATTTATTATTAGTTTACATATGTGATTACTAGCACTTTTTTCATTACTTTTTTTCAATAAAATAAACTGGTATACAAACATTTTATTGATATCCATTTAAAACTATAGACTTTCCTCTTTTCAACACAATTTTTGTTTTGTCAATAACTGCATGCATTAAAAAATGACAACTGATTAGTTTCAGTAATTTCCTATGGGACACCTTGTACATGCGAAAAACATATAAGGCTTAACTATCTTGTGTATCATTTCAGAATGGCAGGACATATAGATTTATCCGAGCGTATAATTGAATGTATGTATGAAGTGACGGATAGATTGACATATCATATATATTCCCGTAAACCAAATCATCGAAACAATGAACATATAATTTCTGATTTGACCTCTAGTTTAGACAAAAGTGAAGTAGCTTTGGAAGGAAGAAGTAGATTACAAATGGTACGCAAGAATTTATATTGAGACATTCATTTTCATCATGTATTTTGCTTAATTTGTTTTATTTTCGTTTAGTTATCGAATCACTTGTTGGAAGAATTAGCCATGGATGTTTATGACGAAGTAGATCGCCGAGAAACTGAAAAAAGTGAGTGTTATTTTTACATGTTTTATAATAAAAAATTTTAATATGCTGATCATAATTTAGATATGTAATTTAGATTGTCTGAATAATATATACATATTTTTTTGTCATGCTATTGCTATGGAAGGGTGAGTAAAAATATTTGAAACTTATGATTACATATATTTGATGATTACATATAGTTCTTATAAAAAATCATATTGTTATCATATTACATATGATAACAATATGATTTTTTATAAGAACTAGATAACACAAGCGCGCGCTTTGCGCACGCCAAAGATATTTTACTCTGCAAGTGTATATAATTTTAATTCGCCGAATTTCAATTATTAACATTACTCTAATTTCCGAATTTCTATTATACAATATACATAATTTTTATTCGCTGAATTTCTATTACGAACCTAATTTTAATTTGCCGAATTTTTATTTTGCACATAACATTAATTTTTATTTTTTATTATGTACATAATTTTAATTCTTAAATTTCTATTATGTACATAATTTTAATTTGCCGTATTTCTATTATGTAAATAACTGAAATTGTACCTAATAGAAATTCGGCCAATAAATTTATGCACATAATAGAAATTTGGCGAATCAAAATTTAAACATGTAAATGTAAGAATTAAAATTATGTACACAATAAAAATTCAACAAAATTTTGTACATAATATAAATACGTCTAATTAAAATTATGTACATATAATAGAAATTCGACAAATTAAAATTATGAACATAATAGAAATTTACGAATAAAAATTGTGTACATAATAGAAACGCGGGAATCAAAATTATGTACATAATAAAAATTCGGGAATTAGAATTATGCACATAATAGAAATTTGATGAATTAAAATTATGTACATAATGAAATTAATTAATTAATTAAATTTAAGTACATAATAGAAAAATTCAGAGAATTAAAATTATATATATATAAGAAATTGGCGAATTAAATTATGAACATAATAGAAATTTAAAAATAAAAGTTATGTTCACAATAGAAATTCAACGAATCAAAATTATGCACATAATGAAAATTCAAGAATTAAAATTATGTATATAATACAAATTTAGCGAATTAACATTATTTACATAAAGAAATTCAGCAAATTTAATTTTGCACATAATACAAATTCAACATATTAAAATTATGTACATAATTGAAATACGGCGAATTAAAATTATGTACATAGTTTTAATTCTTCAATTTATGTTCATAATTTAATTCTCGCTGAAATCCTATTATGTATATAATTTTAATTCCCCAAATTTCTATTATATATGTACATGATTTTAATTCTTGAATTTCCATTATATGCATACTTTTAATTCGTTGAATTTCTATTGTGTACATAACTTTTATTCTTAAATTTCTATTATGTTCATAATTTAATTCGTCGAATTTTTATTATGTACATAATTTTAATTCGCTGAATTTCTATAATATTATGTACATAATTTTAATTCTTTATTTTCATTATATACATAATTTTAATTCATCAAAACAACAAATGTATTCAAAAAAGGCCAAACTTATCGAGCAATATTTAAGATGTTGTATCCAATTAAAATTTATTCCATATATATCTCAGACAATAAACAATATATTAAAAATACAAAAAACCCTCCATATAAACGTTTCAACCGCACGCGGTCTTTCTTAGTATAACAATGTTAAGTACTTTATAATTCTTACAAAAAAATAAATCATAATATTCTTAAAAATACTAATAGTCCGTTACTTCGAGTCGAGAATTTATAAGAAATTTATGCGTGTTACGATTTGTCATATTTAATTTATAAAAGTATTCACCGTGATGTGATCTTATGATGTTAGTCGGATCCCGTAAATTATTTCTTCGTTTTTAAGCGAGAAATTCTTAATATCCATAGGCGTTTATGTCGCTTCTTCTCACAGTTATAACACTAGCTTTAAAAAAAAAATTGAAAATATTATAAAAAAAGGAAACCAACAGTCTAACAAGACACCTTATTTTGAACTTAATTCATCAAATTTCTATTATGTACATAATTATAATTCCCGAATTTCTATTATATATATAATTTTAATTCCCGAATTTCTATTATGAACATAATTTTTATTTGTTGAATTTCTATTATATACATAATTATATATATCGTCGAATTTATATTATGTACATAATTTTAATTCCTGCATTTCTATTATGTACACAATTTTTATTCGTGAATTTCTATTAAGTACAATTTCAGTTATTTACATAATAGAATTTCGGCGAATTAAATTATGAACATAATAAAAATTAAAGAATTAAAACTATGTACATAATTTTAATTCGCCGTATTAAATAGAAATTCACGAATAAAAATTATGTACTTAATGGAAATTCGTCGAATTTTTATTTTGTACATAAATTTCTTTATTTTGTACAATTTCTTTATTCTTTTTCTTTATATTTTGGATAGTATACTCAGGTTATTGTTTATGGGCGATGCCATGTTGCTTTTTGTATTTTGGATAAATTTCTGATTGGTCGAAGAAAATGATTACTGCGCATCTTCCAAATTGCTACACCTGTCTTATTACATCATGGATGGATAGATATGATTTGAAACTTAACAATATGATTAATTTGTTCATAATTATGATTATAAAATAAAAATATATATAACAATATATAAGCAAATAGACTGATACCTAATATTTTATTCATAGTCTGGTTTTCAACTGCATCTCTCCCAGAGAAATGTGCCGTTCCATTTCTACCGGTTAATCCACAATTATCATCTACTAGGAATCAAGGAAGACAGAAATTAGCAAGATTTACACCAAAAGAATTTACTATACTTATAGCAGATCTACTGATTGAGGCGGGTCGAAGACATACGCTTGCCAACAATGCATTTCAAAGTAATATGAATTAGAAATCATTGATTTTATACAACAGAATTTTATATATTTTTATTATATGTATATATATATATATATATATATATATTATTTATTTATATATATTATATATATATATATATTTATTATAAATATATTATTATTTTATATATTTAATTTATTTATGTATTTATTTATATATTATTCATATAATTTATTTATATATTTTTATTTATGTTTTTAGATCCCGTAATAAATATGCTCCATAAAGAGCAACTCGGCAAACATGGATCACAAATGTCCGATGATGAACCTTTGTACGATAGTGTCGCATCCGACGATGACTACACTGCTTTAACATCTGTAGAGAATACTTCATCTGATATCACAAAAGAAATTCAAATTAATAATGAGGTAAATTTTTAATAACTAAGATTTAACAGGTAAAGTTCAATAAGTGCTCTCAAAATTTATATTTTTTTTATAAATACAAAGTTTTATATTAATTATAATTATATTTGTTAATTATAATTATGATTATAATTAACAAATATAATTACAATGTTAATTATAATTATATTTGTTTTTAAATTAAAGTTTAGAATATGTTTCTCTTAATATAAAAAAATCAAGATTTATTTTATTTGATTTATATAAATTGATTTATATATAATGATATTCTAAACTATAATAATTTTTGTTTGTATATGTTATGTTAATAAAGATTAACATAAAAATTATATCATTGTATTGTTATCTAGGAGGTATTTGTACCATTGGCTAAAGGTCTTCCATCTATGATAGAAGTTTTAAAAAAACAATTAACTTTATCTGAATCAACTGTACGAGATCTTCGCGAGCAGATGTATACTTTACAAACTACCATCGAGCAACTCACTCAAGAGAACAACAAACTCAAACGTATGCTACAGGTAAATATACAAAATTTTATTTTGCATGAAACGTATGAACAATTTTATTAAATAATATATTAATATATTATTATTATTATAGTAATTTTTTCATTATGTTATATCTTAAAATTATATATATTATATGTTATTATATTATATATATTATTTATCATTAAATTATTGTAATTATATTATTAATTATATTATAATTATATATTTATAAATTATAATTATTATATTATATTTTCTTTATTGCTATATTATTATTATTACTTAATTTATACGTAAGGCTCCTGTGTCCTCGCCGCATCTAAGAATTTTTAGCGAGTTTTCTCGCCTCTGACGTCACAATTCCAACATGATTGGTGGAGAGCCAGGGGCCTTAATTTGGTGCTAATTACGGTCTTGTATACAGGTCTCGCAACTCCGATGGAAGGAAGGGTTCGCTTGACGAAGTTAGATTTCGTTTGGCGTGCGGCCGCAAGGAGCGGTACGATCGAGGGATGTCGTAACATATACATATGTACGTACATATATATATATATATATATATATATATATATATATATGTGTGTGTGTGTGCGTGCGTGCGTGCGTGTGATTTTCTGCTTCGGAATATAATTAATTTATTTTGTGGATATTTACTTCTTTTTATCTATGATTTTCTGTCTCGGAATATAATTAATTTACAACACGGTTTCGTCATTGTTGCAAATTAATTACAATCATATAATATAAACGGTTTACGGTTATGTCACTGGCACAGCGAAAACCGAGAACTATGCAGTTTATTTATCTTTTGTTTGCATTTTCTGCTTATGTTTTTACAACATCCCTCGATAGCAGCGACGCCAAGTGCAAACATTAAAAGTTAAAAATGCCTTCAATCTTGGAGTCACTCCCACCACTCGTAATTCGGCCGAGTTGCGAGACCTGTATACAAGACCGTGGTGCTAACATAATTTAGTACTTAATTCTGCAAATTAAAAAAATATTGAATAATTTAGGTAAAAAGTTCTAATGATGATAACATAAACGGGCACGTCGGTGGAGAGCAAGAACCCGAATTGGAGCCGGTGCACGATATCAAAACGTCCACTATACGTGGAACTCAACGACCAGCGTCCATGTACGAAACTAGAGAAGGCTTACGAAAACCAGGATCATGGTCCACGTCTATTTGTCAAGTAATGAACTGAATGTCAAGTATTTTCTGAAATAATTTATGTCAATTTATGTGAAATATGTATCGAAAATATTTGTTGTTTATATTATTTCTACATCTAGACGAAACGCGATACCGAAGTCTTGTCGCGGAGCAACACACAGAGTTTGTGGGAGTACGGCGCCCCTAATTTGCCGCCCAGCGAGGAGGTGACTCGGCGAACGGAACAGGTGACCAAACGGATTCAGGAGCTGTGGATGGCCATGCAGGATCCGAGTCAGCGAGAAGCTTTCGTCCCTTGTGCGGAGAGGATCCGCGTCGCTGTTGCCGAGTTGACTGCCATATTTCCTCAGGTACAGGGTGTCCCAAAGGAAATTGCTGAAACTCAGCTGTTCATTTTTTAATGCATACAGTTATTGAGAAAACAAAAATTGTGTTGAAAAGAGGAAAGTCTACAGTTTTTAATGGATATAAATAAAATGACATCAAATATCGTTAAAAGACGGCTCGACCAAATAAAATAATAATTAAGAATGATAAGAGTTGCTGTACAAGTCACGAATTTGCTTAGACATTGCTGACATTAAGGAACAATCTCGTATTTGAAATCTGAATTTCTCGGTTACCCTTTACCTCCCTAGAGTGATGTAGATGAGAAAAATATATTGGTCTGAAAAAGTAGGCTGAATCGAGAATCGAACCCGAGACCTTTCGCTTGCCGGGCACCTAAGGGGGTAAAGGGTAACCGAGGAATTCAGATCTCAAATACGAGATTATTCCTTAATATGTCTTAGCAATGTATAAGCAAATTTCGTGGGTCGTACAGCGACTCTTATCGTTCTTAGTTATTATAAATAAAATGTTTGTATACCAGTTTATTTTATTGAAAAAAAGTTATAAAAAAAGTGTTAATTACGTATGTAAAGTAATGATAAATATTTTTGAAGTGCGCATTATTTGAACTTGTACAAAATTCTGTTCTATTACGAAAACTTGTAAAAACTTTTTCTAACATGTCATTTTTAATGTTATTGACGATCCTTTTAATAGCTGCTATTAAATCTGGCACTGTTGAAAATATTTATTATTAGTTTATGTGATTATTATCACTTTTTTCTTTACTTTTTATTTAATAAAACAAACTGGTATACAAGCATTTTATTTATATTATTAAGTTAAAAACTGCAGACTTTCCTTTTTCCAACACAATTTTTGTTTTTATAATAACTGCATGCATTAAAAAATGACAGCTGATCAGTTTCAACAATTTCCTATGGGACACCCTGTATAAAATCATTCTTTTTTTTGCGAGAACTTCCACATTTGCTAGAATTAGAAAAAAATTAGGATAAAATTTCTGTCATATTAATAGAATCCGCTAGAGGAAAACATCAAATCTGCCTTACGTCAATTGAACGGTAACACTGGGAGATTGCAAGCTGAATGCTCCGGTCTTCAAAGATGCACCAGTGATGCCGAACACATGGATCGTTGCCTGCAGCAAGTGCGTTCATGCGCTTACGATATTGCCAAAGCAACAAAGCTACTTGTTACGCAGTTTCAAACATAAGTCTTCCTTGAGAGGTCGCGGAAAAAGATATTGAGGAGAATTAATATACAGGGTGTCCAATTTTAATCGATCACCCCCAAAAATTTTTTATTTTGATTGTACAACAAAATGTGTTGAACAAAAGTTGTTTATTTAAAAGGGATCCTATTTGAAAAAAGGCATGTGACGCTTTAATTGTTTTTCCGTGATGCCGATTGGTTCTTTCAATGCACTTGTTCATGCCTTGAGCAGCTGTCATTTGTGTTAATTTGCGGTTATTTGCAAATTGACAGTTTGCATGAAAAGAAATCTAAAAATTATTTAAGATCTAATTTATTTAAGAAGTCTATAAATCAGTTGCACAGGAAGTCTCGCGATATATGTGTGATAAAAAAATTAAAACAATATTAATGGCGCGCGCGAAGCGCGCGCTTGTGTTGCTAGTAGAAGATAACTTTTCTGAAGGATGCTTTTCAAAGTAATTTGAAGGTCATTATGTTTTTTTAAATGGAATAATAAAATAGCTTATACTCATAATTTTTATGCAGAAAACTGCAAGGAATCGATTTATATAAAAAAAAGTATAATACTTCCATTTAAAAAATCATAAATAACCTTCAAATAATCTTGAAAAGCGTCCTTCAGAAAAAAGTCAGTAACGTTATCTTCTGTTCCTCTTCAAACCAAAATTTTTGTTTGAAACATTTTGTTGTACAATCAAAAATAAAAAAGTTTTGAGGGTGGTCGATTAAAATTCATCTTGTATATACGAGGGCAGTCCGATAAGTACTTAGCCTCATCGCCCGATGGTGCCAGTATCGCAAGAGAGTTTTACTATCGTGTGGTACATTCTCGTAGACGGCTACTGTCAAAATTTCAGCCGAATCGGACTCGTAATTTTGTTTTGACCGCGTGTGGAAGCGGGCATGTCCGCGGATTTTAGAAAAATGGAAGCCGTCTACGAGAATGTACTACACGATAGTAAAACTCTCTTGCGATACTGGCACCATCGGGCGATGAGGCTAAGTACTTATCGGACTGCCCTCGTAAATCTGTAGTAAATGTAAATATTTTTACGTAAGATATCAAGCTTATTAAAAATTTTTTCTTTAACGCCTTAATTACATAATTATTGCAATGCTTTATACATATATCCACTTTTATAATCGTAGTGTTTTTTTTTCGTTTACCGTTAAATTTAATATAATAAAAGAGTAAAGAGAGACTTACTCTTTTTTTCACTCATTAAATTATTTGTCAAACTAGGCTATTAAATTTATAATCTAAAATAGTTAAATAGACGAATTAAATGATTTAATAAGTAAATAAATAAGCATGACATTATTTGAGGATATATTTTGTAATGTACATTATTATATCTGACAAAGACTGAATAACGGCAAACCAATGAGTTCTACACAGTCTAAGTTTATAGATTTTGTTTAATGTATAAATTCTATTTAAGCAAATTATAAAAGAGGCCTCATAATAAATAGAACACGTATAAGTGAAAAAGAAGATATTCTTTTTATATTTGATGTATATTTTATGTAATGAACAGAGATAAAAAAATCGTTTATAAGCAATTTATAGCAGTTCAAACATTGCTATTATTATATTAATAATAATAGATATAGATTTCTTGATAAAGATGCAAGTGTTGCCATTTAAAAATATTTAACAATTACAATAGCGATTTTTTCATTTAAAATAAAATTTGTGTTAAAGATATTTAAAAAAATATCTTTTAATATCTGATACATTTCTGATCTGTGTGTTTAATTATGTAATTAAAAACATATAAATAAAATCTTTTAAATGCTTTTACATCTTATTACCAGTTTGCATAATACAAATGAATAATAATAATATAAAATAAAAATGTTTAATTATATTTAATTATATATTATTTTTCTCACACTATTTAAATCGTATAATTCTTCAGTTTATCTTTATATCTTACATTTTACAATAAGATAAAAAGAGAAAATTATAATAGTAAGCAGGGTTGGATAAGTTAATGATTTTTTAAAACTAAATTAAGTTAAAGCTAGTTGCTTAAAAAATTAATTTAGCTAAGTTAAAAGTTACATGAACAAAAATTAACTCAATTATAGTTAAGATTAAATTAACTGAAGTTAAATCAAAAGTTAATCTTTAAAAACATTATTTATATTAAATTAGAATTCTATTTGTTAATTCTTTTAAAATTTCCTTTCTTTAAAAAAGGCATGTTAAGTCGATTCTCGAATGTATTGGTTTATCTCGAAAATTTCGAAGTATTAAATAATAATCACAAATAAGAACGGCTTAAGGAGCCATACGCGCGGATGTTGCTGCGTACATTTCCAACAAAAATTAAGTTTTTAAACTTAGCAAAATTAAGTTTTTGTTGGAAATAACCATGCATAAGGCACGTATCAATCTCGATGTACTATTAAAACTTAAAATTTGAAATAATCCCATTTCTTGAGATTTAATTTCAAAAAACCTTCTAAGGCCTGGTCTACAATAAGTCATATGTCGCAATCAGATGTCGGGACGTAAGCGATGGTCCACTGAAAAATTTTCTTTTTGAAAAACAAAATCCTCATTGGACCATCGCTTACATTTCGACATCCGACTGCAACATACGACTTAGGGTGCGATTACATGGACGCGCGGAAACGCGGAAACGCGGAAGAGAAAGTAACTAAACTTTACTAGAGTCCCGCATTTCCGCGCGTTCCGTTCCGTCTGTTTTGATTGCCTTATATTACATGGAGCACATTTTGAGCGGAAAAGCGGAACGGGGAATTATAAAATATTAATATTTAACTATATTTATTGATTAAAATGCTTGTATTCAATAGATAAGTTGAAAAGATAAACATATTAAAAGGAATTACAATGAATTAAGTAAATATAAATTTAAAAAATTAATACAAATGTCTATTTGTCACTATACCGTTCCGCTTTTCCGCTCAAAATGTGCTCCATGTCACAGATTAATAGACAGATCGCCAAAGGCCTGCCTAAAGAAGAGACCGCCATCTTCGTGCGATAGACTTTGCCCCTTACCGACACACTTTGCCCCTGGTTCGAGTCCGTGCTAAATTCGTAGACTTGAACCAAAAGACTTTGCCCCTGGTTCGAGTCCGTGCTAAATTTCGTAGACTCGACCAAAAGACTTTGCCCCTGGTGCAAGTCCAGGCTAAATTCGTTTGACATTACCAACAGACTTTGCCCCTGGTGCGAATCCAGGCTAATTGATCATGAGACCAATTTGAGAGATTTGGCCCCCGTTGTGTGTGTGTGTGTGTGTGTGTGTGTGTGTGTGAGAGAGAGAGAGAGAGAGAGAGAGAATATTTTACATATATGCATATATATATAAAATTTATTAAATATAAAAAATATATTTTTTACACATAAAATGTTTTTTTATTGAAATAATCACGATTTTAAATGTGATATAACACAGTGTTCAAAAATTTTTTAATTAAATTTTTTAATTAAATTTTATTAAAGAAAATTACTTGAAATTTTTTACATTAAGAATTTAAAGGCTCCTTATTCTCTTGTAGAAATTTATCACTACGCCAATTAATCACTTATTTTGAGTATTTAAAATACTATAATATACAGTAATTTAAGTATTCGAAATAAAAGTGATTAATTACTCGAAATAAGTGATAAATTGGCGTTACTAGTAATAAATTTCTATAAGGGTTGAAATAAAGTATAAGAGATAAATAGGCTATATGTGAGCCGTATGCGAAATGTGAGATGTAAGACGCATATTGAAATTTAATTTTTCGATATAACTTTCAAAAATGTACACGAGGTACAAAAAATTAGCTTGGACATTTGTAAGACTTAAAATTGGGATTAATTCTCAATTCTATTAATTAAATTTCGATATAACACACCTTACATCCGCGCACGGCTCACATATATATAGCCCATTTATTAGTGCAATTTTTAAGTTCCTTATTTTTCAAAGTTCACCTTTTTACGTTATCAAATATTTTTACGTTTTCAAGAATTTTATATTTTTACTTACCGCAGTTTCTTATCCAAATGTAAAATCTTTTATCGCAGTCTATAAAAAATTGAAACAATTTACAATTTTATGATATAATATTATTATTATTACAATTTCTATATATATGCACATCTGTCAAATATCGTGATTTATTTCACATTATTATTATCTATTTTAATAAAAAAAAACAAAAACACTTGCAACAATCAAAAATAAACCGCCTGCCGCGAACGGAAAATGCCAAGAAAGCACGCAATTTCCGCGAATCTCGTAATTTTTTTGAAAAATCAACAATTTCAACGAAATTGTAAATTCTTCAAATCACTGCACAAGTATAATTCACAATAATAATTTTCAGTAACTACGATAAAAAATCGTATACTGAAAACCGCAAACGAAAGTGCAATGGGAGTAAGAGTAAAGTCTGTGATAAAATTAATTGGCAATAGAAAATTAATAATTTTCAAATAGAAAAATTTTGAAATTACCGAGGATTTACAAATAATAAAGTAAAAATATTAAATAATTTATGTTTTCGAATTTTGCTCGCGGAGAGGATCTTTAAAACAAGATTTTTAGAAGAGAGGACCTTTAAAATATAAACAGGCAAAAACGTTGGAAAAATTAAAGCGCGCGTTTAAACAGATAAACGCAATGAAATAAATACGCAATTGTTTTTACTTATCGCTGTAAGCTCACAAGCTTCTGACGTGCTATACACTTTTATATAATATATACAAGGTGTCCGGTAACTAACGGACCAATGATTAAGGGCGGATTCTCTGGCCAATTTGGAGACGATTTTTCCTTAGCAAAAATGTTGAGAAGTCAATAATTTTCGAGTTATAAGCGATTGAAAAAAATAGGTTTTTTGAAAACTAAACGTTTTGGAGTTAAAAGTCTAACATAATTACATTCTTCAGTTAATTTCAGGTAGAGTTTACTATAATAAAATTTTAATTTAAGGCTTAGTTATAAAGATACATAATGACAAAGATTGGAAAGTTGTAAAAAATGATGACCTTTTTCGACATTTTCGCTGAGGAAAAATCGTTCCCAAATTGACCAAAGAATCCATTTGTAATCATTGGTCTGTTAGTTACCGGACACCCTGTATATTGGACACGAGTTTCGTTTGTTTCAGATTCTCGAGAGTTGAAGTAGGAACATACGAGTATCATATATCGTTTGTGACTTGCCGAATGAAAGCAAGACAGAGAGCGAACGAGATGATGAGCTTAATAGCTCATAATGTTATAAATAAATAAATAAAAAATTATAACCTGACCTACTAGTTATTGAATCTTTTTTTAATAAAATGTTTCATTATTATTATCATCTAAGTCTAAGTCGTTTAATTACTTTTTAGTTTTTTAATAATTAATTTAATTTATTCTAGTCATTTTTATATGAGAAAAATAATATCACGTATACGTTTTATAATGAATTAATATATTTCGGGAATCGAATTATATATTCTTAATAATATAAAAGTGTTCAAAAATTATATTTGACTTT